CATACATACCGTATTTGCCAGTGGATAAGACGATCCTATCTATAAGACGACCCTGGAGTTTTTTGAGCAAATTAAGTGTGTATTTCTTTGAGGTTCAGTGTGTAGGACGACCTTTGTTGTCAAGCAAGTCTAGGATGTTACCTTTCTAAAGAAATTCTTACAATTTATTTTTAAACTGTGCTAACTTGCGGTCTGTGGTAATCAATACAACCATAAGTGTTTTCTTTATGCTCCTCGATGTGGCATAACTTAAGTCACAAACAACTTTACAAAGTTTTCATTCCAGTTGAACTCCTTTTCTATTACAAAAAAAAATACTAACCCTTAAGATATAGTGATGTACTATAAAAACATGTTTACAAAATTAGTGTACGTTACAGAAACTAATTTTTTGATATAATATTAGGAATATTTTAGTATGATGGATGAGATCAATACATTTCAAATCAAAAATGTCTTGATTAATTTGTTACTAGCACATGAGATAAATAACTTCTAGTTATGAAGAATCGAGACAAATGATATAATTACTAATGTGTTAATATACCCCAGTAGGTGGCACGGTGTCAACGCACTTACTTAAAAAAGCAAACAAAAGTAAAAAGAACAACATAGTTTTGGTTAAATATGCTGTTAACAGGAGAGATTTTACTGGAACTTTATCTTTGAACCTGTGTATAAGACATGGGGTAAAATCGGGCATTGTTTTATGAGTAAAAAGTATCGTCTTTTACACCGATAAATACTTTACGTTATAACCTCTCAAAATACAGTATTTCAGGAATCTTAAACTCTACGGTTGGTGATTTTAAATATTAAATTAGGTTTATATGCATATTAACACTTGTAGAAATAACACAGAAGATTGTCTCTTGAAAATATTGATTTTTTTTACGTAGGAATATATATAGTTTAAAAACAGAAATCTATAAACTGTTCACTCACGCAGGCTGCTCCAGCATTATTTGGATGATGATGATAAACAAAATATAGAAGGATATCGGCATACTGAGCTGAAACAAATTATCTGGATATCTTAATTAATGTTTCATCTTGTGTTATTTTAAGTGATACAGGAAAGTTGTTCACAAGAAACTTTCGTAATTGAAATAACATGAAAAAACCTAATTAAAATTGACGGTTCTCCTTGGAAACTGCACAGTGGATCGACGATGTTTTGCTTAAAACTGAGCTGAATGAGAATATATTTTAGGAGTTGACGTAACAAAAATTCTGGATTATGTCGCGTATTTACTGGTCTAAAGTAGGATATCGATGGATGCTAACACAATTCCAATAAAGTAAAAAACACGAAGAAATTAAAAACATTTAAACGAAAAGACAGCACATACTAACCAAGTATATGTACTGAAATTTAAAGAAACTATATTCTACTCATTTCTAAAGAGTATAAAACGAACAGAAAGGTTTCATGCATCTAATACTTTATATGATTTCACACAATAGCATAAATAATGTGTATTTAGGAAGAAGACGAAATATTTGGTAAATTAGATAAATAAAACGTTTGACATGGCAGATGGTCAATATGGGAGTTCCAGAAAAGCAAATGAATTTATGTAATTAATTCAATTGGAACATAACATATATACAAGTTTTAAATAGTGGATTCAGATGGAAAGTTTGTACAAAACTGCCTGTTGGACAACACAGGTAATCATTTCCATTCAAACTTGTGGTAGGCATCACAATGGCTGGCGTGGAAAGGGTTCACATTGGGTGTTGAGGAAGGGGTTAATAAAACTGGCTCAGGAGATATAGGTAATTAAATATTTCACCATATTTGGAGAAATGGAACACAGGGAAAATATACGGTGTTGCCAAACGGATGTTTCCCAGTCACACACACAGATGGTAACATTCTTGACTAAGTAGAGCCTAGTAGTCTGAAGTCAATCACCGCCAGAATAAATATATAGAAAAGTTTAAAGATAAAAGAACCACCACTTACGTTCGAAAGCCGTTCTGAAACAGAAAGAGGGGCGCTTGTCTTTTTAAACTTACCCAAGCTGCTATCACTGCGTAGGATTGGGAGGATGAAATACGACACTACTCTTAATTGGACGAAGAAGTTTGGATGAAACGTGTCACAAACATCTCACAGCCAATCACGAGTCAGTTAGGTTCCATAAAAAAAGACACAGAGACTTTGTCGGGAGAGGATTGGAGCAACGAAACATTTTAAAGCCATTTTTGGGTCAGTGGTTAAGATTGTGTTGACAGATTTTCCCCTCCCCCAGCCAACTTCCGAATGAACTCGCCATCAGTCAGCCTCACTCTAGAACAGCGCCAATTCTAAAAATAAGCATTTCCAGACAAAACATCGACTCTTGTCAGAAACAGAAAAATTCATCTGATGAAAGCTGTGTTTTACACGTGATATTTGACATTATCTACAGTGGTTACTCTGAGGAATATTTGTTGATATTTGCATGAAACACACATGGGATTTAATTTAGTTTTATTTAATTATTAAATGCTTTTCCAGAAATTTTTAGAGTCATGAACTGTTTATAAAATATCTGCCGTATTTGTAAATTATCCCAGTTAGGGTGGAAAAAGAAAACAAACAATAAAGAATCTTTTTCTCAACTTAGGCTTGTGAGGATGAACCGGGCGGCATCTTCTAATGTAAAACAGTATTCTCGTCGTATTACACGTTAGTGCCAAAAGTCATATTAGCTTTCGATATACGTAGAAAACATCCCAAGTAATAGCGGGATCTTTACTGGTAATACTAAACGATCGTATCTACGAATTTCCTACTTAGAACTAACAGCTAAGAACTTTTAAGTTTTATGTTTAAGTATATGTAATTCTAAGATTTTTGTTTTTGAAAATATATTTTAAATTTTAACACTACTTTTTTAAAATAAGAATCGAAAAGCAAACAGACATCAGGCATTTTAAAACATCGAACGCGCTACCCTTATTGAACGATATAAAGAGTAGGTTAATGTTAAGAGTGAATACTCGGCGCAAAAGTGCCTCATATGATATATAACACAACTTTAAAATGTACTTATGTCTTTTATATAAAATATGTACGTTATACGAGTGGCAGTCAATCCATTCATGTGGATGGTGGGTATTATGGTAACGTTAATTGGCTGCCTTCCCTCTGGTCGTCTCTTGGTGGGTCAGCGGTAGGTTCACAGATTTACAACACTAAAATTCGGGGTTCGATTCCTCGCGGTGGACAAAACGCAGATAGCTTTAGTATATTTGCCATAAATACAAATAGTTCTATTTTAGAGTATAAAAGATTTAAAGGAAATTGTATCACAACAAATATTTACCATATGTATTCATAGGCCTTGTGAATAATATGTAAAATTAAGTATGTTTGTCTGTACAAAAGTTTATATAAAATGTATTATAATATAACATAAACCTAGAAAATTTATTGTCACCTTATTTATATATCACTCAAACCCATGCGCGTGTAAACCTATTAGACTAAAATTAAATCAAACTTGACTCTTCGTAATGACAAGTCAGGAGGACAACAAGATAGCCTCAAAGTTGTCCAGAAAATGCTGACAGCTGACCAGCCTTGTGCCAAGATCTGTTTAGGATTCTTGAACTTTCCTTTCGGAAGGTAAATGATACGTAAGGTCGTAGCAAATAAAAAGTTAAATTCTGGCCAAATGTTAACGTTTCAAAAATCACTAAAATATGAATGGCTCAACTTAAAATCTGAGAGGTATTAAAACATATCTTAATGTAAACAACTGGGGTTTCGGACATTCTTCGTAGCTAACATTTTTCTTCATTAATCAAACAAATTGTAGAGTTAAGTAACTTTGCAGAGTCTTGATAGATAAATTCATACGAATATATAAGTAAACATTTAATGTTCTTTACATAAAGTATGTGTTACTTAGTATTTCACCGTAACAACCAGATAGGTTTTGATATACAAGTCCCACATATCGTTGCTGCTATATCTTTTAACACCTAATGTAACATTTCATATAAATTCAAACCATTTTCTAGGATCTCATTGTGGTTGAAAATTCCATCACACTTCTTGTTCAAAATAGCTAAAAAAAAAAATTCTTTGGATTATACTCAGAAAATAATTACCTTAAGAATATGAGCAATGGGAAAAAAATGTTAAGAAAGTCTTTTAACCAACTTGCTGAAGATCTAACGATAATCGTACAGATAAACGGTGATAAGCTTATCTAAAAAAAAAGCAACAAAAGAACAACTCTTATACATTAACAAGAATGCCCAGCTGAAGAATCAATACATTCTAAACATTAAAAGTTTTTGTTTCAAGACACTACATACTCCTAGTTAGACCGAAGTATTAAATTGTCTATATTAATACTGGTCAAGTATTTAGTTCTGATCTATGTATATACCTTGTTTTGATCCGAAATTAATGATACTTGGTTGAAACGGAAAATTAGTTGATTTTAGCACTTTTATCCCTCTATAATCCATAAAGAGTATATCAGAATACAATTACTTTGCAACTTTCACTGATGTACATTTCTTTTCTACTGGGGCTGATACAGGAGCGCTATATAGAGCTGCCACCTACATTTCATATCACCACTTAACTTATTTATCATAGCATACTAAGAAAATAATTTTCACTAAGTCTTTTTTAATTCATATACAGATACATTTCGATTGCGAAAAGTTCTAGTTCAGCAAAGTGCTTTAGTTTCTTAAAATACTCTTCTCTAACTCACTCAGAGTAAATAAGAAAAAATATCACTAGCATTGGCTGGACCTTTAGACTGAGAAAAAACTCAGTAACTGGAAATGATAATCCACTGAAAACGTAGACATTTTTGATATCTGTCACAATTATTTCATTTGATTCAATATATTGAACACGAATATCACTATCTCTTTCCTATAACTAAGTATCCAAGTTTATCTCAACTCACAACAATCTACATTAGCATACATAATTTTTCTTTATCTCATTTGAACCAAATGCTTATGTATACAAATTTAGTTTTTTCTAAGATCACTCTTTTTTGACTATTGATGACTTGTACGAAATCCCAGATCCGTTCTGAATCACTTTTCTTACAACTGAGTAATTCTATAAATTGGATCAGTGACGAAACACCCTTTTAGATCTTACTACTTCGCCTGTCCTTGTAATTTTGGCCATTAAAAGTTTAGATTATTATTTTCTATCAACAGTACGGTAGAATAACTTTGAAAAGTTTGCAACATACTTTATAAAAATGATACAGTCAAAAAATCTTTGCATGTTTCAAAGAAAATTTTAACAATGATTTTTTTGGAAAACATACGAAACATTAAAAACCTTCTGACGCTATAGAACCTTTAGTTTAATTGAAATATTTAGTAATTCCATTAATATCACCAGAACGCTTGAAATGCTAAAAATAGTGTGAAGTTCTTATTCAAAACAAGAGGGAATCCTCAATAGCCGCGGCACTTGAATTTCTTTTAGGCAGGATTAGAGTAAGTTAATCTATGAGACCATGGGCGTGGTTTGATCTCCTGAGTCCAAAACTGCAATTTGATCTCAATCAGCTAAGAAATGGCGGAGCTATGAACTAAAAGTTTGTATTTGATTTGTTTTATTTTGTTTGTTTTTTTTGAATTTCGCGCAAAGCTACACGAGGGCTATCTGCGCTAGCCGTCCCTAATTTAGCAGTGTAAGACTAGAGGGAAGGCAGCTAGTCATCACCACCCAACGCCAACTCTTGGGCTACTCTTTTACCAACGAATAGTGGGATTGATTGTCACATTATAACGCCCCCACGGCGTAAAGGGCGAGCATGTTTGGTGGGACGGGGATTCGAACCCACGACCCTCAGATTGCGAGTCGAGCGCCTTATCCACCTGGCCATGCCGGGCCGCAGTTATCAGAATGGTGTTCAAGTACCACGCTACCCTTGGACCTATTTGTTAGCAATGATTATATATTATTGCGCCACGGCAGTATACGCATATCATCTTACTTTGAATAAGATCCATTATGCAGATAAATTAAAACGAAATGTCCAAATTAATTCCGATTATATCCTGTAATGTTGTGTGAAATGTTTAAACTGTGTAATAAGAATCTCTCTTTTAATATTGCAGTTGTAGAATTTTTCTTTCTGTAAAATAAGAATTTGATTTTATATTTCGCAGTGACTCGCATCATGAAAATGTTCTAAATATATGAAACAAGTGTTAAAAGCGCTTATTCAGTTTAGTATTTACTTTTCACCGAGTTTTTCAAATCTTCAGCACAAATCAAAAGAAATATGCAATATATTAATAAAATATTTTTCTGTACTTTTGATGAAAAGCCCTTGGTTGTTAGCAGGTAAAAAATAACAACATTTTCCTGATATTCCATATTTTACATAATCAAATAAAACCGTGAGCACAACAAGTTTACATTTTTTTTATGTTTTGTGTTAATATTTATGAATTTTACTTTCAAAAGATAATTCTACCTTACTCACTCACATTTCAATTCAAGCTAACTGAAACGTTTCTGCCAACTTTAGCTCAACAGTTCAAATTGTATTTTACTTCAAGAAAGGTATAAGCTAATTCAATAACTTCATTTCTTTCCATAAAATTCACTTCCTGCTGAAAGTTGCAATGTGATAACTGAAACCTTCTTACATTACTGCAAAGAACAAGTTCACTGTTTATTAACCACAGTTAACTTCATGACCTGAGGTATTAACATTCTGATCAAATTATTGCATTTTCATTCATAGGTTACCCTATAATTGTGTTTTCAATGATTGATTAATTTTGTGTTGGACAACAGAAATGAGTGACATTGTGTAAAGTTTCGTACGTGTATATAAACACCCAAAAATCACAAACATATTCTAATATACACGTAAATTTTCAACTTATACAACTTCCCACATACACTAGTACAGTTTTGGCCAAACTCTTTGCATATTTGGTAACAAATAAAATCATTATTATTAAGATGGAATAAAATTAC